GGCTTAGTCCTGGGGTGAGCAAACCAGCCCTTCTGGCGGAGCTGCTGGACCAGCTGCACCACTTGCGTCATCACTCTCCTACCGTACCGACCGAGTTGAAGTAGTCCGTCGACCTCGGGGACCCCATCCCCTCCCCAACATTCAGCATACGGCCCCAGCAGAAACGCCAAAAGGGCTTTGCTTACCTCCTACACCAATCAGATAATTAATCGTGAGATGTGCATCAAAGCAATGATGGGTTACATGGAACACGTTCAACGATTAGATTGAACGACATTCAAGTGGAGGCTTTTGATCTGCAAAACAGCTTGCCTTATATTTTTAGCTGCCGATATGAATCAATCCAGAAGATACGAATCTCAGGCAAACTGAAAAGAAGTCGTGACGCTTCCTTCCACTTTGCTATATTTTAGGATGACGCTCAAAGGGAACGACCCACTCCAGACGACTATTCATTCTCAAAACATGAAATCAATTTTTAGATGTTTTTTTTTTCGCTTATCCTTTCATCTCCGACCTTCAGACATCAACCTAGTTTTGAATTGCCTTTTTCTGCAGTCTGGGTGATGTCTGCTCGGTCTTTTTTAATCGATCACTTTTTAACAAATAAAATTCAATTTTATCATCGAATAAGAAAATTGAGGCTTTCAGATTATGTGCTTCAGAGGACGGCCGCTTCTTACTCTGATGGTCATTCTGTTTCTAACCAATCCAAATATTTTAAGTACATACTTGCAGTAACGAGTTATGTCCGTGTGGCATTTTTCACGTTTTTTTAAATGCTTCGGCAATTCTTGTTGGTGACACTGTTATTTCACGATTCATTTTTAACACCTTGACGACAGCGCGGCAACTAGGTTTGCCGCGTTTTGCACGCCGCAATGGACATTGTGGCAACTATAGTTGCCACACCCTTTACATTCAGTTTTTTCTTGAACGCGCCATTTCTTCCCAGGTTTTTTGTGTTCATTTTTTAGGCCATACCACAACATAACCAAGAACCACGCGGCTTATAGAATGACCAAATATTCTTTAGTTTGGCAGAGGTTTTTCGGTGATCGGTCTTAACGAAGAATGTATTCGCGGTCTCAGTGCAAGTCCTCATTTTCTCTTCATTAACACGAACATGTAGATAAAAAAAGAATATTAGAAGTGAGAAGTACAAAGCTACTCGTGTGGCAAGATATGTGTTTTTACCGAAACAACCACGTCCAAAATAATTTTGAAATCACTAAAGCAAAAGTAAGTGAAACTTGCCTTTTCAATGCTGTAACACATCATTCGACCGCACTTTCACATGTGTACCTTCCAATAAGTTTGACACACCGAATATCAGTGAAAACATTTTGTCGCATCGAAGTATTGCGTATTTAAAGCTCAAAATCCACAGATTTGTTGTGAGGCGGCGGCGCTCGCAGAACCGCTCTGGTCCCACGCGGCCAAAAATGCCAAAACGCGCGATGTCGTCAACGTGTTAACCGCGCATGATTGTCTACTATAAATAAAGAAGGTCAAGCTGGGTCTGCGGAAAAATTGAATTTATCTAGGGAGGGGAGGCAGGTCCATCAAAACGGCGAAGTTGTTCTGGCAAAAGAGGGCAAATAAGAATGGAGTAACTAGTAGTTTAGTGGGCGTGGGTAATATGTAGAAATGGAGTAGCTCAGAAATTTTGCTCTCTTCGCATCAGCGTCTCGTGAATTCCGGTGGGGAGGGGTGTCCAGTTGTTCACCATCCTAAACGTTAATGTTGATGAAGAAAGTATATTTTTACTCGATAAATTCATGGAGATTTATTAAGGAATTACCAACCTTGTTCCAGCTTTGATGGAAGCCTTTAAGGGATTCGACTTTAAGCATTGTCGCTGGCCTATTACTAATCAAGTCAAGTACGGGGAAAAGTACTATAGAAGCGATTGCCCATGACGGAGGGGAGTCCTATAATTGTATGTAGGTTCTTGGTGTGAAAACTTTCGGTTGAGCCTCCTCTTTTTGGGCGGCTGGAAGTTAGTGTACAGAAGAATCTGCGTGTGCTTTTAAGTGGTGGGAAGCAATTGAAATTTTTGGCAAAATGGTCATCAGATTTTGAGCCAGTTGTTGTCCGTTTATTCTTAATGGTACTATTCTTCATAGTATTTACAGTTCAATTCACGCAGATGTTTGAGCCTGTGTGGGGTGCAATTGTCATGGAACGGGACAAGTTACCTTCCTCATATTCGCATTTATCAAAAAGCTGTGGAAGCGGATTCCCACGCTCCTTTGCGTCTTTTTGTTACAACTTTTGATCGTTGTTTCTTCACGGCAGTATACTATACCAAATAGAATCTAGCATGTCGAGCGTATACTGCGGTTTCTGAAGTAAAAAACTTTAATTTTCAGATTCCAAATAGTACCTAAGAGAATCTGGATTTTGAGCGAGCGTGATGCACGGTACGAACTCTTTAACATATGAGGTGAATTACGATTTCTCGCTCTTGGTCAAGCTTAAAGTTGGGGCCGACCCTTTAATGCTTCTCTTTCCGCCTTCTGATAAATACAAACGAGAAGGTAAGTCAATAGCGTGCCTCTATACCGGTTGATGCTGAGCATTTTGATCCACCGGTCATGATTTCGGGAATTTGCCATTTTGATCGAATTTGCTTCGGGAAAGAAAGTAAGAAAACAGACCATAACTTGTAGCGCCTGCTGAAATTAATTACTCTTTGTTCTAAGATGCCCTGCTGAGAGTTTAAGTCTCTCTGGCGTTTTCTCTGGGCACTCGTGCTTGCAGATTTCTAGTTCTTTTTGAGATGGCAAAGTTTTTACATTTTCATCGAAAGGAGCTCTACGTTATGATGTATTCCGAGGATTGGATCCTATCAAAAATACATGCTAGTGTGATTACTATTTTGAATATGTTATATAAGGCATTTTTAACTCAGTCGCACGTCAGTAGGAGGCGGCGGGATCTCCAAAATAGGCGTCTTCTCACTATTATCGCGTCCGGGGTCAGTAGGACAAACGCCTCAGGTATAGGGGATCGCGTAGGTGGGTTCAAGATTATGTGTGCGGTCTGATTTGTTTCTGTCCGCGAGGAATCTTTTTGGAAAATGATGTGCATATTCTGCGGTGCTGAGGCTTTGGGAGCGTGTTATGCGAGGGCCGTAGGGTCTATTAAATACTACATTCGTATGAAAATAAACGCAAAAATATAGTGGGTTTGAGGAGCTCGGAAAGGAAGCTTACAGGTGTATGTTCTTATTTGAGCATACTCTCGATTTTATGCCGGAGCGTCAGAGTTGGCGATCAGATCGTACGATTAGTCATAAGGCGCTGAGTACGATGTATGTGTAAAAGAGGTTGTAGGCGTGCCTGCGCTTTGGTGGTAGGGTGGTTTGCCGGTGATTTAGGTGCAAAAATAGTGTGCGAGTGTGCGAAAGAAGATGGTTACTTAGATAATTTTGTCTGCTGTGTTCATTTTTAGCGATTCATTCGACTCTACATTCGCCCTAGCTGCTACAAACGCGCTGTAGGGGCGAAGCATAACAGATCGATGTCTTGTCTTTCCACGCGATCGCCTGAGCGTTATATGTACCCTTTTTATTGAAGATGGTTTAAGTCGCTCCTTATCGGCCTAATCGCGCTAAAGGCCTCAGTCGACGTTTCTGACTATCGCACTTTGAACACTCATGAGGTTCCAGAGATAAAAGTCATTTTTAAGGACGTTATGGTTCAGCGTCAAACAGAAAAAGCCTAATTTGGAAGCGAATATTTACAAAGGTTTTTTTGGAATGCTAACTGTGCGGAATATTGATAAGGAACTATGCCACTGCGAGAGGGTTCTCATCATTGCTCGATTTTCTCCTCGCATGGGAATATTTAAAGATTAGTTTTGATTTTGACGAATGGTCGCCGACTGGATTCTTTCTAATCCAAGGCCTCAAATAAAAATGTTGCAACGAGCATGGATCTCAAGTACCGTTTCATAGAACAGAACCATCTTCATGCGGTATTTTACATAATGCTAAAACTTGGGATTTCAGCAGAAAAATTTTATTTGAAAGAAAGTATCTTTGGGTAACAACTCAGTCAGATTGTCAACGTGCGTTGCGCCGTTTACAAAGCACACGTTGGAGGCCGATGTCATAGTTTGCGAATCAAGCGATTCGCTAGCGAATCGCTTGATTCTTGATTTTGGCGATAGGCGCGATTTTCGCGATTTGCGCGACGGTTCACTGAAATCACAAGTGCCCATCCATACTGCAAGGTGTTCTCCAATCCCGCCGTTACTTCTACTGCTTGATGTTATGGTTTAATGGAGACTGCTCATGATTCCACTTGTTTCATATCCAGTGTTTCAATTGTTCAAATGAGGCACTTGCAATTTTTGTGATTGGTTTGGTTTGATTCCTGAAAAAAAATAGGAACGATTCAAGAGCATTTCAATGAACTAATAGACTACATGTGGATCTATGATAACGAAAGTTAGAACACACTTTAACATTTGTTCTGTCCGGGGAATCTTTTACTGACCAAGTGAAATCGCGGGCAGGAGGGATTTATAACAACACTCGCAGTATTATCGGGGAGCACTTCCCAATCTTGTGATCATCGAGGTTGTCCGCGAAAATTCGCGCAAAGGGATCGGCGGACTACTGACATTCGGTTGAGAGATCCTCAACGCACGCTGTATGGGCGGAGACACAGACGGCTCGAGCATGCGAGTGTGAATGTTCGCGCGAGAGAACGTGTCTAATCGGGCGAAACTGCGCAACGTGGCCGTTGAGAACTGCGCAACGCACGGTTGACTCTGCTTAAAGCGAGTTGAAGTCAGTTACATCTTTGTTGTTCCGGAAACAAATAACTGATACTTTAGTGCAACCACACGTTTGGACTAGTTCCTACTTTGAATACCTTAGAAAAAAGCATTTCTTAGTTCATTTCATTACAAAGTCTTCAAAAATCGAAGAAAAACTTACCAGTGAAACTGGTAGCAATCAAAACTAAAACATTTCTTTTATTCAGGATGCTCTTATGAGTTACTCACAAATGATATGTTGGTTGATGGGAATAATATCGAAGCCTTGGCTGAAAAAGTAAGTTCTAAAGATTTTTTTTGCTTTTTTCTTACTGAGCAGTAAAAATATGACCATTGCAAGGTCGGAGAAGTTCACCGTTTTTCTTTCTCTTCTCCTCGCAACCTGTTTGCTGTTTTTTTTTCATCAAAAAATGCTGAAAAAGTGAATCCAGGGCTCCACATCTCAATGAAATGCGGAAATTTGTAGACCCTGAAGTCAAAGCAACAATATCAGATATAATTCGGGTAAAAACGTTCGATAATGAAATTGATCTCGAGAGCTCACTGTTAATGAAAAAAGAAAAGAAAACCGCTGATGAAGCCTTCAAACAAGGAACTCTGCTCTTCCCTTTGAAGTGAAGGAATGCAAGTGTCGGACAAGTTGTTTGAACTAGCTTCTCTGCCTGCATTATTGCTGGCTCGTGCCAGCAAGAAAAGAGGATCGAACTGCATATGTACCAATGAAAACAGAGAAATATGCTTCGGTACAAAAAAAGAAAAACCATGATTATTGAATAAGTTAAGCAAAAAAAAACAATCAAGAAGCGGGAGCATCAAATTCTGAAACGCGGGATAGTCTTACGAAATCGCGCAAGGACCAGCAGCCAAGCACGCGATCCTCACGGCTGGCAAGTGGGCCTTGCGGCGGATTCGCCGCTTCGAGGCGTTCAACTCCCTTTCTAGCGGCTTTCCAAGGTGAGTTTTTGTTCAGTCACACTTCTTATGTTCTTGACTAGGGCTAGCGCATCATTTCCACACCATTAGTGTCGAAGGTAAAAACCCTGCTGGGAGTGCTTGCTTTAATCTTCCTTTTTTGGTAGCAGATCAATATGATTACATTGCACACATTTGCAATCCGTGGTGTCACCTAAACTACTGGAACCTAACTGAACTGTCAATTAATTTCTTCAGTACGGGGCTCAGACAAGTGGTCAGGGTGAGACAGTTCGTCCTCAATCAATGCATATGTTTTACATGAGTGTATGCAACCCTAAGGCTTCGGTTGTTACATCAAGAGTTTTTAGATCGCGTATTGCTATTGTTCAAATTATTGAAGAAGACATCCTCCGACCGGCCTACGGAAGTGCTATAAGTAAGTTGAAAAGAAGCTCTCAAATTACCATCCTATAATGAGTTTTGGAATGAAATTGGTAAGCTTCCGAGGAAAAGGGTCAAAGGTAACCATCCTTAGATTGGAGAACTTACATGGCTGATAAGGATTGAAAGCAGAGTGCTTGTACTGAAACATCTCACTCAAAGCTGAACTGTGTGATGCAGCGAACTTGGTGGCCGTTGTAGGGTAGATCAGCGAATTTCAGAACGCGCACGCGACAATCTTGGCATAAATATCGTGAATGCGATATTTATGCCAAGATTGTCGCGTGTGGTAGCCTTTGTCTAGCGGAAACAATAGAGGGGCAGGGTCTGCAGATGAGACAGTATGCCCATGTGCTGCATTTTATACACTTCGACATTTGTGGTCTGGGCCTGATATAAGATTTAAGATTCTTGAATCGGAGCGTGAGAAACATAGCGCTTTGCTTTTCTGGTGTTGGACTCGAAGAACAACTATTGCGGCATGATCGCCTGCGATTTACTTCGCGCGACGCGTTCTTCGCAAGCTACGTAGACATACAAATCTAGAATGGCCAAATAACCTCTAGCGTGGATCCGGGAAAAAAGACACAAACTTTCAAGATACACTAACATGGAGTCGATGAAATCGATGACGTCGGCTACAGCATACTTACTTGGATACTTAGACGAACCATCGATCAGCACTCCGGCTGGCCTTGTGCGAGTTCGGAACTTCTGCTTCCATTGCTCGTGGTCTTGGGTCTTGGCTTGTCCAGTGTACGATCACATTAGTGGACACAGGATCGTACTCGTTATTTCAATACGCCAAATAGTCTGCCCACTCGAAGGAGAGCGGCTTTCTTCTCGCGCGGAAACATTGTGCAATCTCGCACCTCTACCGTATCTGCTCGACTTTCGATAAATGTGCCCAGCAAATTGGTAATTCGAATTTTCTATTCTTATGAGGGCTATAAATAGAGTCAGCAATCTCGACATAAGTTTCCAACGTCCCAGATGTGCTAGGTTCATGTTCCCACAGACGTAGGTGCCACAAGATATGGCGAGAAAACATTGGGTGCGCTAAATTCAAAAATGTGATCCCATGTGACGTATCCATGAAACGTATAAGGCAGTGTAGTTCGGCCATTATTTTCGGAGAGATGTAAAGACTCATCGGCGGCGTAAACGCGACGCGTGCCCTACCCATGAATTTTCCGTGGTGCACATTTCTGACCAGCGCGCGGACCATAGATAATTAGACATAGGCTGTTCCAAATACTTCATACTCACGCAATCGACGCAATTTCTGCAACGAATCAAACACATGGCATACTTTTATTACTGTTTTTATTTCAGTGAGCGTCGCTTGCTATGCTAGAGCTCAAGGCTATGAACATTTCATTCTGGTGGACAAGATGTTCTTCGCTAAATGCCTGCATAAAAATGTTGGGAAGTTTCATTCATTAGATCAGTTTTTCTTGACAACGGCAGATCGCCTGCAACAACGAGGATAGTACTTGTTTCTTCATCAATTTTATTTAGTTTTTTTTCTTTCCACTCCAGAAATTCTTTCTCCATCACTGTATCGTTGCATATGTACTGAGGAACTACGACTATGTTTTGTATTTAGACGTCAATATTGGAGTTGTCAATCCGAAAAGGTGTTTTGCTGGGTCATTTATTGTACACAGTATTATACATTGAAGAAATGCCCCATTATCCCAAATTTTGTACTGCGCGAAAGGGCACTGGGAGAAGTCAAAAGAATGAGATAGGTGTAAGAATTCCTTAAATTCTTTAGAACATTGCGTCAATGCGGAACGTACAGAAAGCGCCAGCACAGAATGTAGGCGCATGATGTTTAGCGCATGATCAAGGGCGCATCGGCATTGGAACGCCGGCCTCTCCAATTATGCAAGAGCATGGCTCTTTTCGCCTATATGGTCATCCGCTCCCACTGCCTGCACCGGTGCAACTTCTGAAGCAACTATGAACTATGGTTCATCTAGCGAGAAGACGCATTGAGGTGCAGGGAACCCTACACGATGAAACGTTGCCAAACTTTTTGTTCTAAATATTTAATTACTTATCTTCCTCTCTCTTCAGACTTAGCCTCATGGAGGCGCAGGGAGGGGGGCGAGTGGAAGAGTGAGTTAGGAGTGTCGACAACTCCCATTTTTTCTAAAGACCCCTACTCTTAGTAGGCCCATGGAGCCGTGGTCATGGCGGTGGGGCGGAAGAGGGGGGCTTATTGGGGGAGGTAACGATGAAGTGCTTAACCTAGTCCACAATTGCTCTTCATATGCAGCAATGACCCCCATAAAACAGATAGAAAACGAAAAACTCGAAGCAATAACGTAAAAATTAAGCCGCTTACAGCTGAACTTCAAAGGACTCCTTGAGCAAAACAGGCGTTAGGGAGTTCAGTTGGAGCAGTTGTCCCCTCTTATTGGAAAACGGGCGTTTATTGGTATATTTCGATGCCCAGCACTTTCAGCAGGCTACATACACATTAGTGTTGACTTGTTCACTACATTTTCAGGAGAATCGAAGACTATATTGATGAAGATTTAGACTTGATATTCTTTGAGCGTATGGCAAACTGGGGACTAACCACTGAAACGTATCTTGCGAGAAATTCACAGAGAGCACAAAATTTGTTGAATGGTGAGTGTTGGCATTTCAGTCCAGCATGCCTCGTATTTATTCAACTATAATATTTATGTTTTTACTCATGTGAGTTTGCTCTCTCTACTGGTGCTGGATTTTTTGAGGCCGGACTGAAGCTTAATGTATTTATTTACGAGCGACAAAATGTGATGAGTTTGACAACGAGTATATTAGAGGACAAGAGCGGAAGCTTTGTTCGAGAGGTCTCATCGGCAGGCACTTATGGTTCGCGCGGACATTAACATTGATAAGAATGGTGATCCAGTAATGCTGGGTTGTGAATCAAACTTCTCCCCGGCGGGCTTGAGAATCGACCTCTCGCTTCGCGCTACCAGCTACAGGAATGAAATGGTGCCCCGGTAGCGTAACTGGTAGCGCACTTGCCCGGAAAGCGAGAGGTGCGGGTTCTAGTCCCGCCTGGGGCGAAAGTTTTGTTCACAACCCAGCATTCTTGTGAAACATTCGCAACGCGAACTGCGGCGTTAAAACAGCAGTTAACAACAAAACAAGTGATCGAGAATATTTTTATATGCTGGGGTGCAACGCCAAAGCCTGGTGACTAACAGCATGGTCTACACCAGCTGGCCATGGTGCCAATACCTGTGCAGTAGAATGGAACAGGTCGAAATGTCGGAACTTCACGGGTTTGCTCCTTCATGGGACCGACCTGCCGGATACAGTGCGGTTAGAAGGAATTGGTGGCTCAAAGTATTGCAGCACAAAACAACAGACATAAAATGAACGATTATTGAAACAAGGTTGAATGTATTCCCAACTTCGCCCATTAAAGTCAAACACAACTAAGCGAACTCAATAAACACAAACAGAAAAGTGCAATCTTTGGAACGCGAGCTGAAAGAGCTCTAGAGGAAACCAAAAGGAGCAAAGGAAGAACAACGTGGTTTGAAAATTTTGAAGAAGGTGATGACAAAAAAGACTATATAAGCAACGGCAAACACTGAAAAGAGCAGTACGATGTGAAGCTATCCATTCAGCATTAGCGAAGGCGGAGAAAATAGGAGCGCACTGAAAATACTGTTGACAGCTCCTCAACGTACCACAGAAAGATCGGAATATCGAAAAAGAAAAAGACCAGGATTACCTAGAATTCACAGATTTCAAATCGATGTTGCATACTTAACAACTGAAGGACATCGATGTCGCTTAATTTGGCACTAGAATTCTTACCATTCTTTGCAAGAAGCACTTCAAGTGGAAGTTTCTCCAGCCATCTAGAGGTACGAAGGAAGAAGGATTGAAAGTGTGAAAGTAATTCACTCTGCGTATACCCTTAGTACGTAAGACAAAGATATTGGCCCTAACACTGCACGACCGGAAAATCCAGTACGTATTTGCTTGCTCTAAGCTCACTTCATACGTAAAATAAGGAAGCAAAAAGCGAAGCATTATTAATGTTTGGGTTAATCTCTCAAATGGCTGCATATGCTGAACTTCAGTTTCATGAATCTCAGACAGGGGTTGTAAAGCAGCTAAAGAGGCTCCATGGAAGGTCTACCGTAGTCCTGAAGCAGCTTTGTAAATGATCACTTCAATCGGAGTACTGATGAATAGCTCCTCAGAGAAAGTAGCTCTGACTGTTACCGCTCTTGACACGCGTCCCAGATAACGTCGTAATAGTCCACTATACGTCGTTGAGTTCAAACCATGCACATGTTTTCTGGGGAATTCTTCTGATTTCGTCGGGGTACAAGGCCATTGCGAAGTTCTTGATAAACTGGAATGTGCTCTTCAATTTTCAGTTGAGATCATTCGGTTTGAACTTAATGTCAGCATGGTGTAAATGATTCTTTCCGAGTGTAAGGGCGGATGACTTTTTATTGCCTCCTCCCCCTGTATTTATGCGCACCCACTTTGTTGTATTACTCACCTTTAGCTTTTTCTACTCTCAATAAAAATTAATACACAGGAAACCATAAAAACCTACACACTAATCTGTTTTCAATGAAATCCTTCATCTACTCGTAGCTTTAACACATTTATACTTAAGGCCTCGCCAAC